CAGTGCCCGGCAGCTGTGGGCAGGAGGATCCAGCTGCCTGCCACGTGAGCCGGCACTTCAGTGAGCTGAAATTATATGTTTTGCTCTGATGCTGTAAACACATGGAGGAAGCCAACGGGAGGCAGTTGCCGAGTATTGGAGAACGCACTTACAAATTATGTATCAGCATATCAATGGGAGCGCAACAACACATGGTTTTGGCACGGGTGAGCTGCCTGGAACAGAAGATTGCTTCACTTTTGAATTTTTTCCCGCTTTCAGAAGTGAAGAGCAGGTCCCACCGGTTCCTATGCATCTAACAGAGCTGGATAGCCATTGGCTTTCCCTGACCACCGCGCAGAAATGAGCAGCACTCTCCCAATATCTCCTCTTGCAGATACAGTCTGGGGCTCAGTGCCCTTCTCATCCTTCCAGATTTTGGCCTGTACAATCCTCTGGTGACTGCCACATTCCCAGTTTAGAGATCATGCCTTGAGCTCTGTGCCATGCTTCTTCCAAAGAGCAGCACAAGGCTGCGGCTTCAGACAAGTTGACCGGCAGCTTGTTGGCATCAAAAGTATCAACAAGCATTAGCTTGGCACGCTGAGGATGAGCGCGCTCACCTGCGTGGCAGTCTGCGGTGCGCAGGTGGGAGTGGGCGAGCTCTCCGTGGCTGGCATTGCAAAGGGCTTCAACGCTTTTCCTGGGTTTGCACAATTAACACAGGACGGGGAGGCTGCAGCTGGCAAGAGAGCATGGGAAGGCGATATAAAAGAAATCAGAATGTGCTCCCTGCGTCCCCTTGGGTGGAATGTTTTGGCTGAGGCTACAAGGGTCACCTTGGGGCAGCCAGGGCACGGGGCCAGCACCGCCGCTCCCCTGCCGAAGTTTTGCACCTGGGCGTTCCGGTGCACTCAGGCTAAGTCACGGTCTGACGTGGCAGAATGGGGGGAGCAGGAAGTGGCTGACCCCCCACCCCAGGGCAGGATCCCTCCAGTGATTTCTCAGCCCAGCATTTCTCGCCGCATGCTCTGGGAAGGGCATGTTCAAGTAGCGCGTTCAAGCTGTGCGTGCGCAGGAGCCGTGGTGCGTGCGGCTTTACTTTGGCAGGGGTGTCCCCCGCCTGGGTGCTCTGTGTATGTGGGCGATCCCAGCCGGGTGGGTGTTTGTGCACGTGCCCACCCAGGAAGGTGCGGACCTGCGTGAGCCCCAAGCCCGTCCCATGTTGGGCAGGCTGAGTGGGGAGCTGTGTGCCCAGTGCCTCCCCACGGGTGGGTGCCCAGTGCCCCAGATGAACCTGGTGCCCCACGTGTGGATGCCCCCAGGGCATGGGTGCCCATGAGTGTGCTTAGGGCTCCCCACGTGTGGATGCCCCCCATGTGGGTACCCCCCCCAGTAAGCCCAGCGCCCTGGTATGAATGACCTGGGTGTGGGTGCATCCCGGCTGTGCTGGGTCCCCCACCCATGCCCCCCCGACCCCCGTGGGGGGGTGCCCGTGGGGGGGGGGGGGGTGGCGATGGGGCGGGTTGAGGGCGAACGGGGGGGGGGGG